GATTTATGAACAAGAAGTATAATAAACGTATGTTATATGATAAAATTGAAATAACACTTACTATGTAAAATTTTGAAGTGGCGTCATCACATTGTTTTTGGAGATGATTGATTAGACAACTTTTGCTTAGCGTTTTAGAACCTACACGATATTCCTAAAATACATATAAAATTGGATCCCAAAATTTCAACAAAATGAGGTAAGTTATTTTTGATTAAAACAATAAAACGAATTACGCCAAGTTTTAATTTTTTAACGTCATCGAGTTTTTGAGAGAATTGAGCAGATAAAAATATATCTGCAATCGGTGTCGCATTTCTGAGATTAAAAAGAGTCGATATAATACTAATAGTTTATTCCTTTTGTACTTTGTTTTTTCTGTTCTAAATTTTAAACTTCTACGTGTATTAAAGTGGGCGTTAACTTTTGGCGCCTTGTTGTAACAGGAAATATAACTGTGGAGGGTAGTGAATGTAAAGGTGAGCAACAAATCGGGACATTTTAAAATATCCGTTACTAGTTTATGTGGCACATTTGTAGACACTCACTTTACAAACTAAATAAGTCAATTTGTAAAAATTCAAATTAATTTCATTAATTATGAGAAAGGCTTAGATAAATAAGAACTGTGGTCTCTGAGTTCAAAGTGTCAGTTGATGAAAAGAAACGAGCTATAGAATACTTGTGGCCTGTCGCGATAATGTGGTGTTGTTTGGAACCATAAGTTGGTTTCTACCTGCTCCAGCAGTATGATTGCAAAGCAAGGTTACTAGACTACAATGAAAAAAAGACCTTTGCCCTATTATACTTAGGTGCCGTTTTCGCATATCGTGACAGTAATGAACTAACGATTGCTTTATACTTTCTTACACAGTCGATGCCATGTGTAGATATCCAATTAAACAGTCTAGTGATTTGTCAAACGTGGCGCCGTTAATTAAATATTACAAGCTTCAGAATTATGCAACCTGTGTAAGTAAGATTGAACCGTTATTTGTTGTCATGTCAGAGTTCGAAAACGGTCCGAAACTCTTGAAACGATAAAGCAAAAATTTCAGATAGTGCATGAGTAAGTTGGGGAAATCATGAAAGCGAAGGTTACAGGCTTAATATGTGATTCTAAGAAGTTACCGCCCGTTTCAAAACTGTTAACCAAAAACAATAACAGTTCGGCAAATTTCAAACCGATCTAAATCCGGAACATTCATTTTGGCAAGTGTAATCAGACCTTGTCCTTGCACTTATCGGCTTCCTTAGCGGTTCCTCAATCTGCCAAATGTCATTGATAATAATTTTAGACCGTGATTTGGCTAATCTCGATCGCAAAATGCACGACCTTCAACCATGTCTCCATGCGCTAGCCCCATATCTACTTCACCATTCAACAGTTGCAAGTTCGCAACAACCACCATTGATGCATCGCAGGCCATAAATCCTCACTTCCGCCCACAAAACGAACAAACACTTTGTTTTTTCCTTTCCCTCCTTAGAGCCTTGTCGGCCAATTGGCGTCATTCTATTATTCTTATGCAAATTCTAAAAATATGGAACGTGTGACAAGTGCCGTCCTCGACCTTGTGGCCCGGTGCAGCTGCATCGATTTGCAGGGTGACTCTTATGACCCAATTATCCAGCCGATGCCCAATGGGTAGGGTGACTGATAGATGAGGGTACGGGAAGACGCAGATGTATCGCCATCCTTTTTTTTTGGCCGTTTGTTCAATGGAAATGTTTGCGTCATTGTATGCATCAAGTACTTTGTCTGGTCACTAGTTCTCCAGTTACGACACATTCGCAATTTTGTAACATACCAGCGACCCTACCATTGGGTGCCGACGACGGCCTTGTCATTGTCACCGTGACTCATTAGCGGCACCACCCACAGATTAATCGCCTATTAACGGTAGAAAGTGCGATGGTAGTGCATGTCCGAACCAGGAAGACGGTACCAACGAACCGGAAAAATTTCATGGTAATGCCAAGGCTGGCGTCATCGGGGACGACCGTGAGGACTTTTGGTGCATTTCTTTCATGTGTGTTATTATTGTTCGTAAAAAGTCGGGTTGTTCAAGGCCTGACCTTGAATTTGATTAGCACACGTCACGGTTGTTTGGAGGGGATTTAAATAGAGATGAGCCCGAGCAGGTGCGACCTACGTGATCATATTTCGCTTATATTAACCTTTGACTAACCTCAGTGACATTCATGGGCGCCGATACGCGGAAACATTCCTGCGATGTAGGGTTTTGCGGCGACGTGAACAGATTTTCACGGAAAAAACTGATAGGAAAGTTTCCATAATTGATTAAAGGCTTTTGTTTTCGACAAACATGTTTGGCGAAAATTGCTGTTGTTCTAGGTCGATAACGAATGACTTGTCGAGGTTTGAATCCAAAGAAAAATGGACTATTTTTTGCGCGATCTAGAACATATTGATTTAGAGGTGACTGAGAACAAAGGTCGACGTCGCCAACAGCGTTTACACTTAAAAAATTAGTGGTGCAAAATGTCGCAAGTTTTCAGAGGCAGCTCTGAATAAAAACATTTTCGATGACACGCCGTTTTGCTAAAAAATACTAGATGATATGGTTAAAATTTTTGTTGCTAAAATGAACACACATATTGAATAGCGAACTTCTAAGAGGTTTTTAATTTTTGAATTTTCACGATTTCACTCCACAAAAAAGTGAAAAGAAAGCTTCCGAGAGTTTTACACAATTCATTTCATTAATGACCGTCACTTGTACAAAAATGACTTCCCATAATTTTAAATTCAAAAGGTAAATGTTGCCTTTCATTTGAATGCATTTCGTTTATTTAGACCTTCAAGGAACATCAGATTGTCTATAGTGAAGCTATAATGTCTTTAGTTGCTTCAAAAATACAATTCTTTAAATATCAATAGATTAGATTTATTTTTAGGGCTTTCTGGTATCTAGTCATGCAGCCAAGATCCGATAGGAAATGCCATAGCAACTGAAGAATTATTGTTTAAGCCAGAGATTTTATTTTGAGCAATATATTCCTCAGTCCTCACTGAAGCGATAGAAGTAAGGTTTAATGATATGTTGAATAATATAGAAGAAAAATGTTATTGAGGTAACCATCCAGGGACAATCGTTTTCATTACTTTGTTTTTAAACATAACTATTTGTTTTTATAAATTTAACATATTTTTATTTTCATCTATTACGTAATATATATGTATTTCTAATGATAAGAGTGCTTTCATTAATTTTTATAGCACTTTCGATTTTGCTTCAAATGAAAAAAAATTTTTAAAGAAGATTATTACCGTTTTTATACACTCAACACGACAGCATAACGGGTTTTGCAGTTTCAAAGTTAAATTACAAAATGTTGTTATATAATTTTGAATTTTTTTCCCAAAAATCTGGGTGTCTAGGAGAAGATTCAATGCGAATTCATATATCGCAAGTGCAAGACTATCTTATTTTATAACATTAAAAATATATATTATTGTAAATTTTGACGTCATCTTACTGGTAGTAGGGATGACTAGCTAAATTTTGGTCAGCGTTATACTATCTAAATGATATTCCTAATATACATACAAAATTTGGCAACAATCGGTCTAGTAGTTTCGGAGATTGTGTCTTATAAAAATTGATATAGACGACTGACAGACAGAAACGGACGGCCACTTTTTTCATAGGTACCATGAAACGTCGAGAAAACATGAAACTGGCAAGTTGCCTCTGTTACTGTACTTCCTTAGGAAATAAAAATGTATATCTCACAATATTTTTTTGTCCGTAAGAAATGAGTACCATTCTGTTGTACAATATAGTATTCTATTTGTAACAGATATTTAAACATCACTGTAAAAACTTATATTTTATGTAAAACTAGCTGCAGATGATAATGTTAGCTTATTTACAGTTTTTCGAATGTAAAGTTTTTTGTTTAAATACTCGTTGTGGAAAAGTTTTACACAAAATAAACGTGTATTGAGAGTCATTATAGAGAATAACATGTAAATGAGTTTTTAATTATATTTTTCACAATGCGACAATTAGTTTTATTGCAGCAGCACAAACTAACCACGCTGTATACAAAGTTCGTTTTCAGCATAATTTTGATACTTGTTTATTTCATTACTCTATGGTTGTGTAATAAGAGGCATTTCGCACGTTATTTTATAGGTAATATCTCATTTATCCCGATTATGAACATTCCAATTGTCATTCTTAGCTTGGTAATGAAGTAATTTTTTCGTTCTTTCCTTGGAAGCTAAAAATACCTGATCTAACCTGACGATCTGACCTGAGGTATTTCTTATAAGTACCAAATATATTTATCAAAAACTTTTTCATAAAGTTGTCAGTGCCTGCTGTTATACGTCATATGGATACAGCTTAATTTACATCACAATAGTGAGGCGCCGCTGCTAAAGCATATCTAGGCGTCACATATGGAGAAATGATTTGATTGCTTTCCCCTTCATAATCATTGTGTAAATGAAGCTTAACAGATTCAGTTTTAACATAAAACGGAAAAAAAATTATACATCTATTGCAGGTATCTCAAATTTTGTTTCTCTAAACAAGTCTATAATTGGACCATCTGTATGTGGTAAAAACTAAGTTGATGACAACTGAAGATATAAACTAAGATAAAGTTAGATTGTTATAATAGTCACAGTCTTTGTGCTCTTCTCTCTCTTTTTTTATAGAATGGAATAATATTTTTTCAATATATCAAATTGTCAAATGTCACATGAGTACAGTAACGTGGACCTATACTTAAAACGTATCACACATTATTTATTATTTAGTAGTATACGTGTGATTTATAAATAGGACCAGGCAAAATTAAGGATTTTCATTCGTGTTATACCTGAATGTTTAATTATTCTAGGCCTAAAGGCGTATAATTAAAAATTTCCTTCCTGATAATTATATTAAAGTGTAACACATATTATGTGGTACAAAAAAATGTCACCTTGTGTCCTATATTTTAGTGTTGAATAAAAAATGTTAAAAAAATAATTGCAGTTTTTTAATGTATTCATTATTCATTAATCACGAAGCGATTTCCTGCGCCTCAGATAGGGGTATTTTTTGAATTTCTCCAACGCCAGGTGTCGCTCGTCCGGCGGGAGATTTAAACTTTCGTGCGGTGTCGCGCTACCGTGGTGGAGTGAGTCGGTTTTCGGTAGATATCCAAAGTCCCTGAGGTGCGCTACTGAAATAAAGCAAGGTCAAGTTTAGCAAGGTCAGTCGGGCGGTCGCGTCGGGGCCGTTGGTGGGTGTCCGTCCGTCCCCCCGCCCCTTTTCCACCTCTTGACACTCAGCGTCAACAAGCAAAGTTCTGTTTTTAGCGCTTTTTTATGAACTTGTTGTCGTGTTGCTATATCGAGGTTCAAGGATGTGCGTGTGTAGGGTACATGACGTTGCTGCCGCCTCCGCCGCCGCCGCCACCGCCACGAAAATAACAATAATAGGAGCGAGATATTTAGCATAAATGCGCCGTTGTTTGTACGCGTTTATCTTGGGTATTTGATAACGGAGGGTTCAAGGTTGGCATGAGCTGCCTGTGTACTGGCTCACAATCGTTTTCATGGTCAAAGTGATAGAGATAATTAGTTAATAATACTCGTTTAATTCAATTTGCGTGTATGAGATAAATGGGTTTCTGGTATGACAATGGCCGCTTGGAAAATTACTTTTTACTGCGGGAAGTGTCTTCAAGGTGAGGGCCAATGGATGACATAAACAACGGCCAATTTACGACATGTTATGTCACACCACATTTATTCAAATTGATGATATTTTATTGCATTGTCGGTTGAATTATGAGCCCTCGAAAAGGCGGCCGATTCCGCAACGGAAAACTCAACCGAGCTTTTGTTTATTCGGGTTCGCAGAACATGACATGACGTGTTGTTTGGAACTTAACTTCGACGAATTCGGTTTCTCAGGAAGTGACATTAAATTTATCCTGCATTCGTCACGTTGCGAAATTCACAAAGTTTTATTATTACCGTACGATTAGATAATAACCCTTCGCCTTTGCGTAATTATGCAGTTTCTTTAAAAATAAACATTCAAATGCATTGTAAACAACCTTGGCAATTTGTTTAATCACTGTATAAATTATTTAAGAAAAAGTAAAAGTACGCAGCAAAATACTCCTGCAATAAAAATAGATTATATTAGAGAAAAACCACGTAACAACGAAATAATTTACATCACAATTATTTTTTTCTTCCTTTGTTTTTCTTTCTTCCTTGAGTTTTTAGTTTCGCCTTCTGTGCTTTCAAATCCTTTTTCATTCGTGCGTCGACGACTTTATAATGACCTTTAACACCGGCCGGCCTTTTCATTTTTTTAGCAGCCATGTGTTTCTTGGTTACCACGTACGTCACCTCTTTCTTAGGTTCTCGTCTTGCTTTCTTATACAACCTTAAGACAAACAAAACGATTATCGTTCCCACACTTCTTATCGCATTACTCACTGCTTTATTTGTTTGGCCTTTTCTTTATCCGAGACGTCCACGTTATCCATTAAACTCTCCACTTTTTTCTTTGCCTTCTCAAGTTTCTTCAAAGCTCTCTTCTTCTTTCTAGCTTTTGCTTCAATTACCTTTTTAATGGGTCGCACGTTGAGCTCCTGCAATTGCTTCTTATACTCTTGGACCATTTCCTGAAAACAGCAAAATAATAAACATACTTTGACACGGACCATACAATACTTTTGGAACTGCGGCATCCTTCTTCATGTGTTTTTGCTCATCTTGTACAAACCAGTCAGGCAAATTATCGTCGTTGAAAGCATATCGATTCCACGCCGCGTCGATTATATCCCGTTTCGTCTTTTTACTGTTCACCATCAGCGTTCCAAGCGCTAATTCTTCTTCACCCAACCTCTGTTTCCTCTTTTTACCAATTTTTTCACCAGATGAGACAATTTCAAAACCATCTTTCTTTGCATTGTTCACAGGTACTTTAATTTCTTGCTCTACATCATAGTCAGAATCTTCTGAATCATCAGAACTATAATCGCTATCTGTGGAAACTTTTTTAGTGCTTTTATTATATTTTTCTTCATCTTCACCCAAAATTTTAGCGCCTTTCTTTTTAAACTCTTTTACTGTTTTATCCAAATCTGCATCTTCATCACCTTCATCTATCAAGTTCTTGAAAGCCTCCCTTTCAAACCACAATTCTGCTTTATGAGCTTTCTTTTCTTCTTTGCTTCGGTGGTCCAAGTCAGTGATTAAGGGGTGTTTTTTAGGTTTAGTTACTTTTGTTTTGGAATCGTCAACATCACTAGTTTCGCTGTCGCTCAATCCAAGGCCTTCTTTTATTTGACTTTCATCTTCAGACTCACTTTCTAATTCTAATTCTGAATCAGAATCTTTGTAATATAATCCTGAGCCACTAAGATGTTGCTCATCTTTATTATAGCGAATATATTTCGTTTTAACTTCATTTTCTTCATCATCTGATTGCGCCACGACGTCGGGAGTTTGATTGAGGACTTTATTCATTTGTTTATTGTTAGTCACTTGTTTTAAATTAAACATGCCATCATTCTCCATTGTGGGTCCTGAATCGCCCTTTAAAACCATCTTCAAGTTTAGTTTTTCATTAAGTTTCTTGCGCTCTTTTTGTGCTTTCTTCTTCTTGCGTTTTAAATCGCGTTGTTCTTCAGTCTAGAATGAATAAATTAAATAAAAGCCATAATGGTGCGAAAAGTACTCACCTCTAACTCTAAAATTTGTTGGTGGACTTCTTTTAATTCATCTTCATCAGTTTCTGCAGCTTCCTCTTCAACTGTTTCTTTCTCTGGTTTTTCTTCTTTCTTTTCTTTAAATTCTTCACTCAGAGTCTTCTTCCAAGTCATAAGAGCCTTCAAATCTTTTCTTCCTAAAACTTTAATATCCTTGCAACATTCTTTAATTTCAAGGGTTGTTTTCTTGTGACTTGCAATTTCAGAAGTGTCAAGAACAATCTAAAAAAAAAAAAAAAAAAATTAATATAAGTTTGTTATGTGTTGTAACTAAACAAACCTCTGAGGCAGCTTCCAATAGTTCCACCCCTGTTGGATGCCTAATAAAATCCGACGCCTTCAGCACATGATGCAAAGTATAGTCATTCTCTGGATAGCCCCCGGCTTTATCCTTCTTCTTTTTTTCCGGATGATAAATATTTAACTTATTTTGCGGCTCAATCTCCAACTCCTCAAAAACGTACTTCGAATCCAGAAACTTGGAGTCAATTTTATCAGGCGCAATATAATACTGACAAACCACGAAAATCTCAGCCGACTCATTTCTTGATGCTTGGGGTTTAGTGGCGTGCACTTTTTTAAAAAACTGTTTCAAAACCCAAATCAGGGGGTTATAATCCTTCGAGCGAAACACCTTCGTCACAAACCAGCCCCCTTTCTTCAAAAACTGGCTAGCCAATTTCAACGCGTTCAAAGTCAAGCACGCTTGCTGGTACGCGTCATGCAGCCAGTTTTTACCCACATTTGGGGCTCCATCGTGCAACACCACATCGGCTTTCCATGTTTGTAGTTCCTTGGTAAGTGCGACGCGGCACTTTTCGGTCGTGATGTCTTCAGTGAGGGAGATACAGCCGGGGATGGGTTTTATCGGGAATAGATCTACTCCGACGATGATGCTGGAGACGGGCATGTTTTGTTGAGCTACTTGCATCCAGCCGCCGGGGGCGGCACACAAGTCGATGCATACTCGAGATTTTTGGAGGAATTCGAATTTGCGGTTTAGTTGGATTAGTTTGAAGGCGGCACGAGATCTGAAACCTTAGAACGGGTTTGAGGTTAGGTTGGGGTGTGATGGGGGTATGTTACCTGTTTCTTTTGCGAGTTGGTAGTATTTGTCTTTGCGCTGTTTTCCGATTTTGGTTTTCTTCCCCATCGTTGAATAATGGGAGTGTGTTTAAAATTATTGAAGATTTATAACTGGTAAACACATGTCACTTTTGTAGGTTATGTAGTGTTGGTTTGTGTTGGTAATGCAGGAAATGTAGGTGTCTGTCGATACTTGACAGATTGGACAGCGTTCTATAGTCGGTCGTACGAGTTTCTACGCAGTGACGGCGTTCTAGGGAGGGAAAGCAAAACATAATTAACGAAAAATAGTTTGATTTCATTTTAAATTAGCTATTAAATATTGTTCAGGATATAGAAAACGTTGTACACTATTCTGAAATTGTTCAAAAATTGTGACAGACTTTGTAGCTATGAAAACTCATAAATTCTGAAATTTACAATATTTTCCATCATGTTTTAAAATTTCAGGTATTAATTGTAAGATATAATTCCAGTTTTGTTCTGTCTTCAATGTTAAGGTATATTTTTTGCATTTTTAAAATCACTGATAAAATGTAGATTGACTTTCATAAGACAACGTTTGTTATTTTCGAATTAGTAAGTTTTCTTAAGAATTAACATTTTACCTCCTGTAAGAATCCTAAAGAAATATATCAAAACTATAAAAATTATGTACAGTTATCATACTTCAAATTAATTAAATAAAATATGCTGTATCTTCACTCATGTTTTCATAAAATTTCAAAAGTCTGTTTCCAAAAATAAGTGTCAGATCTCATGGGGTTCAGATTACTTTTTCTCCCAAACGTTAGAGGGACAGTGGTTAGAGTCTTCTTGTGATTGGATGTCACGTGAATTGCATTTGAAATAGAAATATACATCTTTGTCCTTCTTACTTTGCGGGTGTTTTGATAACGGGTATTTTTTGTTGCCATTATGATTAGGTTGCAATTTTATAGTTTCGACATTGGTACCAAGTATTGTTAAAAAAATTACTATTGTCGTACTATCCTTGTCTAGTACATAGGTTAAATTACTCCATTTTCATTATCAGGAGCCACAGTTTTTATATAGTATTTCTAAAAATAATTTGAAAACAGAATTTTATGAGTGTCATTAGCTTTTGGTAAGCTCCGAGTATAATTTTCATAAAAATATCCGAGTACCTGTTCGTTCGGGGTGGATTTCCAGCAGGCGCGGATTCAGGATTTCGTTTAGGGGGGGGGGGGGGAGCGGCAATTTTTGTGTGAATTTACTCCTATAAAATTTTAGCTAGTATACTCTTTTTCACATAACATGGGTGACATTTTTCATTACACGTATAGTGAGAACCTCGATAATCCGAATTAATTGGGAAAAAGGTGTGTTTGGATTAACGATTTGTTCGGATCAGCGATTTTCCCAAAAATCTGAAAGGGAATTGAATAACAACTTCATACACAGTTGACAACAAATTTCAAGAAATAAACCTTAATTTTATTAAACAAAATTAAAGAATTCTTAAGCAACAATGGATAATAGATACATTCTAAAAAAATATTACTCCGTGACCATAAACACGCTATCTTTTTGGAATCAACACGCCGGGATCCATACCCTGAATTTTTTCAGAATTTTTAGATGAATTTTTCAAAAATGAAATTTTCCACATGCAAATTTCGACCCATTTTCGACGATTTTCGAAATTTAACTAAATACTTTTTCTTGTAGATTTCGGGCCTCATTTCTTCGATAACTTCAACCTTTTTTCCAGAATTAGTTAATTAATTTAGTGCATTGAAATATCGCAATTTTTAAAAATTTCAAAATATTCCATACAACATATGCAGAAAGATCTTGCGTTATTTTTGCAAGTTCAGTTCGGATTGCAGAGTTTTTGTTCGGATTAAAGAAGCATCGGCTTCCAATAGCCTCTATTCGGATAATCGTTAATTGGGATTATAGAGGTTGTACTGTATTTATATAAGCAAATAACGCTTAGTCAGCACATGAATTTTGCATATAAATTTTGTATAGAAATATATATTTACGAAGCATTTAACTTTTTTATTTATCTTAAGTTTGATTGCAACACACTTATGAAATATGCCCTAAACAATTTCCTGAGTCCTTCCAGTTTGGAGTGGGGGTAATAAAAGCGATTAACTTATTTTCAAATATTTCTGGAAAAACTTTGGTGGTTTGTCGGTAAAACTAAAGAAACTATTTTGTATTGTCTCTGTAAACTCCAACCCTTATTAGTTGTCACCTCCTTTTTTCACTTAAACCGCCTCTAAGGCCTTTTCTTATTGCTCCTACGCTCAGAGCGTCCCGATTGGAGAACCAGTTCTTGGTTTCTAATTGTAAAACTCTTTGCATGTAGGGCATCTTTCGGGGTTTTTATGGTTTGGAGTTAACAAAAAATTTGTGCCACATTGTCAGAAAAACGTTTTCGGGGGCTGAATGTTGTCAGTTTTATTTTTTCTTAGTCAGGAGAGATTCATTTTTTCCTTCCGAACTGTTCATTTTTCTTGTCTCTAAATTCCTGAAGTTGCCTCTTACAAAAGTTGCCGAAACGTAGAAACTCTTTCCAAAATTGACATGGTACAAATTCGGAAAATGACTTTCTGTTATTAGCTTTGATCGTGAAAGCCTTCCATTCCATTGTACTAAATGTTTGTAGATAATACTTAAATATACATTGTTAAAAATACCTGTAAAAAATCTCAGTTCTCCAAACTACTCACTTCATTTTTTTTTTATTTCATTGCTGTTAATATGGTTTTAGTAAGACAGTGATTTCAGGTCATGTTACTATCTGACGTTCCGGTCCAATATGGCTGACTGGAATTTCGATTATTTATTTATCAAGTTGAAAACAGCGAAAAAGAGTAAATATTTACTAAAAATTCCGCTTGACTATTTATGAGTGTAATTCCAATGCCAAGTGTCAATACATATAATTATTATCTTTATGTTATTACATATTTATCAGTCCAAAGACTTTTCAGTTGGATGCTTCTAACTCCTACTATATTTTTAGTTATAATGTTGACCGCACTTGTACAGGCCGATTTGATTTATGCTGTAGTATCTCTAATCGTAAATTTTCGGGGATAATTCTGTAAGAAGTTTTACATTAGAGAATAATTTTTTTATCATTTTCCTGCATACTTAGAACACTGTTATTATGTATACATATTTTATGGTAATTGCAGTGCTTAATTGTATTTTGATTTTACAATCAATCTCGGCGGTCTCGTTGAAATATTAAAATTACGTTTCAGAGCTTTAATTATTGTCTACTATATTCAGATATAAAAAAAACATGCTTGGTTACTGTAAACAATAGCAAAACTTCCAATTTTATTTTTATTTCTTTTTTCAGAAAAATGGGTATTCCCCGAAAACTGATCCCACCGTCGCCACTGACATCTAAAGACACGTGATCATCAATTGGCCTACTTTATATATTTTGTCGAAAATATCAGGTGATATGGAATATTGATAGCTATATTTATATTAAGGTTGTGAATAAATAAAATGTTTCTGGATTAATGCATTTTGTGATTAAGTCCATTATCCTTCATTTCGTTAATTTTTCGTGTCGTTTGTACACATTCCAACAGATGGCGCTTCGGTCGCGTCCCTATTTATAGATTTGTTCGATATGTACCCGACGTAAAAATACACATATAACCGTTAATTAAAAATAAAAGACGTCCTCTTCACACTGTAAGTCAACCTGACACCGATATACGCAAAATTAACAACAATAAATAAACCGCCATCTTGTTCCACCCGTGACGTCGCCCACTTACGCCCACCAATCAGAGGCGCTCCCGATGGTCCGAGTTTATTCTAGATTATTTTGCATGACGTGTATTATTCTACTTGGACCCCGCGTTTGTGTACAATAAAGGTATTCGATAAGCGTACGTGGTGAAGATAAGTATTATTCAGCAATAACCAAAGTGAAAAACTGTCTCCAGTGTGTGTGTTCCAAAATAATCGCATAGTTTCGTGTCCAAATTAAACAGTTGAAAGTGGCAAACATTATGGCGCCGTCAATACAGTCGTTTCTAAATTCTTTCAGTAATTCACTGTAAGTATAAATAGCTTAGTCACTCCCGATAACGTCATCTTGGAACGCAATAACCCCTCGTTTCCCCAAGGGAACCTCCCGTGAGGCAGCACCTGAAGAATGTCTACGCCTGTCTGGCCATGTCCACAATGGCCGCCGCCGTCGGGGCCTCCATCCACCTCTTCACAAACATCCTCCAGGCTGGGTTCCTCTCGGGCATCGGCGCCCTGGTCTTCTTCGGTCTGTTGATGGCCACCCCCGATGACAACGGCAAAACTCTGAAAATGCGCATGGGCTACCTGTTGGGTTTCACCACGTTGACTGGCGTGGGCATGGGGCCCCTGCTGGAGCACGTCATCGCCGTGGACCCTAGCATTGTCGTGACGGCCTTGGTGGGCACGGCCGTGGTATTCGTGTGCTTCTCCGTCTGCTCGTTGCTGGCCGAGAGGGGCAAGTGGCTGTACTTGGGGGGCACCCTCATGTCGTTACTCTCCACTTTGATGATCTTGTCGTTGGCTAACTTGTTCTTTGGATCGTCCATGCTGTTCCAAATTCAGTTGTACCTGGGATTGTTTGCCATGTGTGGCTTCGTGTTGTATGATACACAGCTGATCATCGAAAAGAGGAGGATGGGAAGCAAGGATTTTGTCACTCATTCGTTGGATTTGTTCGTTGATTTCATTGGAATTTTCCGCAGAGTACTTATCATCCTGACACAGAAGGTAATTAGAGACAGGTCTGTTCCCCTCCTTTTTACCTTTGTCCTATTTAATCCTTATTTTTGAATCTGGGTGAGAGTAGTTTTCTTACGAGTTATTTTGTTATAGGAGCAGGAATCGCAGAAGAAGCGAAGAAATTGAAAACAATTAAGTGATTGACGAATTTTTTGTTAAATTAGGAAGTGATATGGTGTTGTGTAATATATTTTTCCAATTGTCATATATGTTATTTTCTTTGATTATTATATAATGTAAATTTAAGTTAATCAAATAAATAATTTTTGTAAAAGTGGTTTTTTTGATAACATTGGTAACAATGTTGTGTGCATGTCATTAAGATAAATATTTAAGTAGAACCACGTAAGTGTTACGCGTATTGCTTTGTCAAGGTTGATGAAAATCAATTTCAAATACGCATACAAAGTGCGACATTTTTGTTAAATTAATTTTTTTATGTCTGCTGAATGCAGAACTGCGTGTTTCAGCAAGCCAGTATTGTAGTAAGCAGTAAACAGGTTTTATGGATCCAGTTTATAAAAATAAATCTGCTAATTATAAGCCGTTACAGTGTTAGTTTCTCTGTAAATATATTTTCAGTTTATGTTCAGTTCTGGCAAGAGTTTTCACTGTTTACAAACAGCGGAAGCAATAATTATCTCCAAGTTGAAACGATCCGGCGAACAATCACAATCATGATTAGGCACCCGCGCATACAAATGAGTTTATAGGAAGCATTTCAAACTAATTAATTTCTGTTTAGCGAACAGAATAAATTGTTGCAAATATCTCAGCTCGTGCAAAACACTTGTCTATCGAGTCCAGGAAATGTAAATTTATTATCTTGCAATTATATTATATTTCTCGTTTATTCCTCTCGCTCGCACTTGGTTTCGCTGTCAGCACCAAAAACTCGTCAGAGTAAAATACTTTCGTGTACGTGATGTATACGCCGGTTGCAAAAGATAATGCGTTTTTGATTCATTGTGGGTGAAAGATGACCACATTCATAAACAGATAATTTTGTCTCCTAAGAGAGAGATGGAAATGGATATCTCATGATCATGACCTACACCACAGACTTACAGCTTTTTTTTTACGATATCTGAAGAATTTTTGTCATGCTTTTTCGCTCGTTATTTTTGCTTCTTAAAGAAACCTCAGCGATATGTATTATACTGGAAAAAAAATGATGGAAATGCTGATGCAAAATTAATTTTTGTAAACCAATATTCTTTCCTCGTATATTTTTCATTCCCAAATTTAAAGTTGATGAATGCTTTAATGTAATTTGGCAAGATCCTTACATACCTACCCGTTGTATTTACTAGATAGAGGGTAAAACTAACAAAACTGCTATAATTTTGATATGGAGAAGTATCATGTTGTGCAGCTTTTGGTTTAACGGGAGGACCGCGGAAAATAACTTGTCAACTGTGATCTAGGTAGATACTCGTAAACGGACAAAAATAAGTGAAAATGGCTGCAATATTCGGTAATTTGGATTTAGGGTTGTTTATTGTATTCCCACCCCCTGTAAAAATATTGGGCACAACGAGTTGTTTGTCCTGTTTCCAGGGTGGAATTAGGTCTTCGCGTCCGGAAAAACAGGATTGGTAAAACATCTAACTTTACATTTTATTTGTTCGGGACTTCAGTGTTCTTTCCTTAATAAAATCCCTAAACAATAAACAAGCTTTTATTGGGGTCTGCGGTAAGTCGCGCTGTGAAGGCACCTAAAAGTTAATAATCAAAAATAATTTTACACGAAACGAAAATGAATACTGGATTCAGTAGAGCTAACAACTGAAGTTAATAAAGTGATTTTTATTAAAAAACAGACAATAATTGTAAGTATATGTACTTAAATTCCATTTTTTCATTCCTGCTGTCTAAATACATATTTAGAGCTTCTAAGCCTTAAAAAAATACAGAATTTAGATAAGAAAAAAAATTTAAGAAAAATAATTTAGTTCAGAACTTGTTCCTCTACTATCAGGCATTCTATTTTTGGCTGTCTTATTGTATTACAGTGAATTATTATTAAAATGTGGTAACCTTGATAATAATTTATAGCTAATGAAAACAATAAGTTTATCAAAGAGGCGCCGAAGAAGCAATTATCATCGTTGATAGCCTTGAAGATCGAAAACGAAATAATCTCCATCGATTCTACAGAAAACAACAAATGAAGTTTTATATTTGACACGATATACTTGTACAATAATGTATATCGTGTATATAGGTATAGAAGTATGTAGTGAAAAATACACTGAAGTAGTAGCAAATGTAACTGTATTTTTTTAGTTGTTTTTGTGAAATTTTGAGGATATTAATATCCGTTATTAACAGAATCATTCTTTAGGTATAAATTAATCGATTAATATTTTCGCCTTTTTCCGGATTTATTTTTCCTTACTTGAAATGGTCCACGTTTCACAATAATGTGTTTTAAAAATGGTGCCACTGGAAACTTCCACCCAGCAGGATGAAAATCTGCAGATTACTTAGGTGGTTTTGATCTTTTTACTTCCCGAGCGTAAGCAAAGGAAGTATTGTAATCGAGTCCGTCGGCCGACTCTCTACTTTTACGTTTTCTCGATCTTTCATGACCCCTAGAAGACGAAGAAATAGGTCTCCCATTTCCGTCTGTCTGTCCGTCTGTCCGTCCGTCTGTCCGTCCGTCTGTCCGTCTGCCGTCCCGGATTTTTATTAGACAGATAATCTCCGAAAGTACTCGACCGATTGTTGTGAAATTTTGTATTTATATTAAGAATATCATGTAGATGGTAAAACGCTAACCAAAATTTGTCTAATCATCCCCACCACTAATGCGATGACGTCACTTCAAAATTGTACATAGTTAATGGGTTTTCAATTGTATAAAATAAAATAGTCCTACACATGTAGTTTACAACTCTGAATCGACTTTTCACCCGAAACGTCCAGATTTTTGGAAAAAAAAATAAAAATTATAAAACAACATTTTGAAATTTAATTTTTAATCTGCTAACCAGAATGCTTTGAAATGTTGCAGATGTTTTAAGGCTATAAAGAGCATCATAAATCTTTAGTCAAAAAATATTTGCTTATCCCCTCCAAAAACTTGATGACGTCAGCTCAAAAGTTTGTGGAATAAATCATATCTAAAATGTACAAAATATGATGAGTCTGTACTTGTGATTTATCATTCCATTCATATTTTTGGATTTGCATATGCAGGGTGACTCAAAAAAATTAATGTAGGCGTGAATTTATTTTATCGATTTAATCAGGAATTACAAAACCGAATGCTTTGAAATCTTGGGAATATTTTAAAGTTATTATAAGCATGGTAAACTTTTGTACAAAATGTATTTGTTCATCCCTCCTAAAAAAATTGATGACGTCACCCTTAAATTTTGCTGAATAAATCCTATCTAAAATGCAAAAAATATGATGAGTTTGTACTTGTGATTTATCATTCCATTCATATTTTTTAGATTTTCTTAAGAGGTGGTTCAAAAAAATTAATGAAGTCAATTTATTTTATTGATTAAATTAAAGGCAACACTTATTATTAGTATTACACCCCAACCAACCCAATTTGGTAGACACAAAATTTGTTAAAGGAAAAACTCGGTTGAAACATAAGGGTAGCACGCTTATTTACATCGACTTTAACATTACATACCTGCATTTGTTTTATGCGCTCACTTGGTTCCGCGAATGTGAAATAGACATGTTTATAATCAACCAATTGTGAATTTCACCGTCAAGAATTAAAATAAAACCCAATGTTTTATATAATAAGCGGAAGTCGAAGCAATAAAACCGATGGTCGTTTTGTTTACAGTTTCTCTGTTTGACTCTCACGTATGCTGTTACGCCTGTCATCTTAAATTAAGAATGTTTATACATACACGATTTTCAGTTGCCTCTGATACGTATACGTGAGTAAATTGTTTCGTTATTTTATTGATTATTACAAATCAATATTCAAAACGACCCAATTCATTTTCCCGAAAATTTGAGAGTATAATAATTTTATTCTTAGTATTACACTACATCTATCCCAACTGATATACGTGTCCTTGCAAAAATGTTGATGACGTCATCGCATTTTTTTTTAAATTCCCACTACAAAAATGTAATGAGAAAAAAAACACAATAGGCATGCAGTCGTCAAGTTTCCGACAGGGAGGGAAGTACTGTCTAAACTCTTTAGACCAATTTTTTTACCCATATTAGTCTCTTTATAAAGGTGTTGATTGCAGAGATTCAGAAAATATTCAGCTAATTGTTTCATCCTCCTTCTTTTCACAGTTTTCTTCTTCTAGATCCTGAGTGAACCTTTTTGTTTTCAGTTAGACATTTTCACAAAACTAGTTAGAAAAATTAGTACTTGGATAATGGAAAAGAGTAAACAAAATTATGATTTTGTTTTGTGATTTTAAAAAATGTTTAAATTATTTACCTGGTTTGGGCAGGTGGGTATTAACATATTTTAAAATTCAAAAGTAAATCAATTTTAAACAGGTACTCAAAAACTGTTTATTTATTGAATATCGAAATATTCATGCACTATCGACTTTATATGAAGTCCGACTCGTTCACCTCGTCGACACCACATATTTATTTGTGTGTTATTCGTATGTCATTCTAGCAGATATTGTGTGATGACTAATAATAATAATTAACAATTAATGTTTGGCTTTACCACAGTGATGCACTAATTATAGAGGAATACTTAACATATAAGAAATAATTTCTGTAAATGTTTAACATAGTTTATAACGCCAAGACTTTTCATATGATGTTTTCTCTTTCTTCGTACCTAAATTTTTAGGTTGATAACTTTATAGATCTGATGTCATACTGTTTTATTGATAGTTTTTGTAAAAGTTTTGATGAAAGCAACGAAAAGACACTTTTAGCAACAAGTTACAAATGAATTTTGAAAAATTGCAGTGGTTTCTATGTTTTCTTTCTTTTCATATTGTTGTACTATTTTTTTAAATTAGTAATTAGTTCTTAACTTCATAGTTAATTATTGTAGAATTAATGTCTATGAGTTAATGAAGAACGTGTCATTTATATTATTTGATTTTAGGTTCTTTTTTGACTCATTTTTAGTACAACTCCCTTGCTCAAATACAGTAATAAAAAATACAACTGTAGAAAAACTAGCATGTAAAATTACTATACAAGTATAAATTTCACACGTGCCGTAATAAGCTTTTTCTGCACTTGTTTTACAACATACTGTTTCCTGTTCTCATCTGACATGTCATTTTCGTTGATTATTATTAC